AAAGGAATTAATTGGGGAATTCAGCGGAAAAAACGGCGCTGAACGCGCTTGCAGGGCACCTGCTGCAGCTGCTGCTGCTGCTGCTGCGGCGCAGCAAAAGCTGCTGCCCGGAGGGCAGCAGTTTACATGCAGCAGCAGCAGCAGCAGCAGCTGCTGCTGCTGCTGCTGCTGCTGCTGCTGCTGCTGAGGGGCCCCCCATTTGCTCGCGAAAAAGATCCCCGCAAGAAACGAATAAACAACAACAGCAACTTCGAAACCCTCGTGTTGCTGCGCAAGGGCTTCGCCGCCGGAGACGCAGGTCTAAACCCTAAACCCTAAACCCTAAACCCTAAACCCTAAACCCTAAACCCTAAACCCTAAATCCTAAACCCTAGATCTGAGGCGTAGGCCCGCGCAAACGCGGGCGCGACACTGCACCGGCGCCCCAAGGGAGCCGCAAACCCTAAACCCTAAACCCTAAACCCCAGTCCCTCGCCGCGGACAGGAATGAGGGATGCTCCAAACCCTAAACCCTAAACCCTAAACCCTAAACCCTAAACCCGCGCAAACGCCAGACACACAAACCCACTCTCAACAACCCCCCTGCGCTCTCGCTCGCGCTTGCGTCGTCAACCCCAAACCCTCTAAACGCTAAACCCTCGAAACCCTCGAAGCCCGCGAAACCCTAAACCCTCGAAACCCTAAACCCTAAACCCTAAACCCTAAACCCTAAACCCTAATCCCTTCTTGCTGCAGACCTGCAGCGTCGCCTTCACGAAGGGCAGGAAGAACGCGAACGGCAGCCACAGGTGGCTCAGCTCTGTGCCCAAATTCGCGAAGTCCTCCGCTGCGCCAAACCACAAATTAGGGTTTCCAGAGTTCCGGGTCCTTCCTTCGCTTTTCGGGGGTTTTCGCGGGTTTTCGGGGGTTTTCGGGGGTTTGTGGGGGTTTACTGGGGTTTATTGGGGTTTTCTGGGGTTTATTGGGGTTTATTAGGGTTTATTAGGGCTTGTTAGGGTTTGTTGGGGTTTATTGGGGTTTGCTAGGGTTTGTTTTTTAGGGTTTGTTTGTTAGGGTTTGTTAGTTAGGGTTTGTTTGTTAGGGTTTGTTTGTTAGGGTTTGTTGGAAGCGTTTACCTGGAGGAAGCTGTAAAGTTCTGTGCTGCACAACACTAAGCCTTCGAATTTAGGGTTTAGGGTTTAGGGTTTAGGGTTTAGGGTTTGGGGCGTTTTACAGACGGTTTGGGCCATTTGTTGGCAGTAAGCAGCGCCTGCTGCCACGAGGCCAAAGGCGTCCACCACGCAGCTGTCTTGCTGCAGACAAAGGGCTTAGGGTTTAGGGTTTAGGGTTTAGGGTTTAGGGTTTAGGGTTTAGGGTTTAGGGTTTGGGGCGTTTTACAGACGGTTTGGGCCATTTGTTGGCAGTAAGCTGCGCCTGCTGCCACGAGGCCAAAGGCGTCCACCACGCAGCTGTCTTGCTGCAGACAAAGG